TTTTTTTTCTATTAATTTTTAAAATTTTTTGAGGAGGTAATTAGGTTTATTTACTTATTTTCTTACTGGAGGTACTGGGAATAGAACCCAAGACCACAGAGCTATACCCTCCCCTATCTTCAGGATTTTTTACTTGCCTTCTTTAAATTAGGTGTTTGTGTTAAACTCAACATAAAATTCACCAGTGTAACCATTTTTAAGTGTACACTTCAGCATTTCCGTCTGACTGACCGACGCATTTATCAAATGTTTATTTCACACGTGACAGGGCAGATTCAACCCCTTTTGAGGTTGCATATCTCTTTTTCTATTCTGTATATTTATTACTCCAAAGGGTTTTTGGCGACTTTACTTAATGGTATATCCTCCAGATTGGTGAAGTGACCGTAGAGACATAAATATAAAATGCAGCACACAACTACCCTCTTAAATACTTCAAAAAAAGCAGTTTCTGTAACTCGCGCTCTCCCGCAAGATCCCGCGCGACGTCTCTAGTATCGCGAGTTGCCTCTGAGCCCGGTAGGGGTGGGGCTTAACTTGCAGGAGATTCCCAGCACCCTTAGCGAATCTGATTCCCTAATTGCGCATGACGCAGTGCAGGCGCAATAGACGTTCCTTGACTTCCGCGTATAGAAGGTATAAATATCGATGCCTCCGGTTCTTCCGGCCTTTTCGGGAAAGACTGCTGCTCTTGTTGTGGAGTGTTTGGTAAGTTTTCCTAACCGCCTGCTTCGTTAACTCTAGGTCTTCTACCCCGGGTACCCCAACCAGCTTTTTCCGTGGGAATCTACTGTTTAGAATGATTCCGAATCTTTTGCGTCCGTGGTAACTACACTTACTCGCAAAATGAGGCTGGGTCGGGTGTGGGCCGGGGAGGCCTCATGGGCTGTGAGTCTCGGTAACCAAGGCGCGCTAGTGCCGAAACTCCCCGACTTGCAGGGTTGGCATCCTGCGCAGCGTTCGTCTTCGTTACTGTTTACTGCGGCATATATAATGCTGCTTCCTAGGAGGCGCGTTTGCGCTTTAAGTGGAGTTGCATGCAGGGTATTTTGTTCCTGGTTTTGTTTAAAAGTTTTTGTGGTTTAGAAACGGATGCTTTAGTTATGCGAGTTTTTATCTTTTGAGGTGGTTTTCCTATTCCAGATGATAGGATTAAAGATAGAAGCTTTAATTGCTGTAACGACTGTACACTTGCTATTTCTTTGGCAGGAAGTTCATCGCCTGTTGGGGTTTCTAGATGTTTTCTTTGGAGACCTAGCTGAAAATTCAGATTACTAATGTGTGTCTGATTATCGGTCTTGGACTGGAATTTTTTTGTTGACACTCCAGGTGTTTTGGGTCTACTCCCTTATATATATCTCTCCGAAGCAGCTATCAACTGGGTGAAGTTAGTTTCTCAAGTATAGTGACCAACGTGGATACCCCGGGAGGTCACTCTCCCCGGGCTCTGTCCAGGTGGCGTAGGGGAGCATAGGGCTCTGCCCCGTGAGGTACAGTCCCTTTCCACAACGTTGGAGATGAAGCTAGGCCTTGAGTCAGCGCCTGCATATTCCTACAGCTTCTCAGAGTCCTGTGGACAATGACTGGGGAGACAAACCATGCAGGAAACAGCTCTGTAGAGCAACCTATGTGGATCTGGGTTGATCTGAAATACCGGAAAAATTTGCTTTACTCAGTTTTACTATAGTAGTAGATTAAGCTCTTACCTGCCTTGTTTTACAGTGTTCATTCGGGATTCGGGATAGCTTGATTTGAGGTAAGTAAATCTACACATTGCTTTTGGCTTGTCAGCGTTTGCCTGTCTGTGTTTTGTATAAGACGTTTGATCTTTCTGAACGTGGGTTCCTTTCATGAAGATGCTACTGATGTATAATGCATCCAAAGACTACTACATTTTTGTGAGCATATTTACAATTTCTTAGATGTCTGATTATGTTCTGAAAGATGGCTTTTTAATTTTGTTCCTGTATCGTAAAACTGGTTCTCACATTTTTAATTGTGATGGAGAGAAATTTGTATTTTGCAAATGTGATGATTTTGACTGTTTTGGTGGCTTAACGAAAGTCAAAAGCTGTCACATGAGCCATATATTGTATGTACCACCTCCCCCACCGTCTATCCAAGGGAGCTAAGGGTTTGATCTCGTATAAAACCTTTCCACGATGGGAGTGAAGTTGGGCATGTGCACCAGCCTACTTCTGTGATGAATGACAGTAATTAAAATACATGAAGCACAAAATTGTCAGTAGCAGTGACTTTAGAATTTATTTTAAAAGTTGCTGATCATGGTGAGCTTCCTTTCCTCAAATCTATGTAGGGTATGAGGAAAAGTGAAATCCCTTGAAAATAGGGGTAATGGTGTTAAAAAACATTCCAACGTGGATATCCCGGGAGGTCACTCTCCCCGGGCTCTGTCCAGGTGGCGTAGGGGAGCATAGGGCTCTGCCCCATGATGTACAGTCCCTTTCCACAACGTTGGAGATGAAGCCGGGCCTTGAGTCTGCACCTGCATATTCCTACAGCTTCTCAGAGTCCTGTGGACAATGACTGGGGAGACAAACCATGCAGGAAACATCTAGTATGCCAGAATTTACAGTTGAAGTTAAGTTAGTAAATATGAGTCTAATTCTTTCTTCATCTTTTTTATTCAGGAGAGAAGAGGAGCCTCGCTAATTTTGCAGTTAACACTAATGCTTTGGGGTCCTTTATTCGGCAGGGAGAGTTGGTAAAGTGAGTAATACACTGTTTTTGGAAGATAAAGCCTGGACGGCCTGAAAATGTTTGGGCACAGTGTTTAACCCTAGAACTGCACCTTGAAACCCAGCAGAGTAATAGGTGGTTCTGTTGCCCAGGGGCCCACTGAAATTTTTAAGGATTTCTAAATGATCCTGGTGTGTGGGCAGGTCTGTTAAAAAGACAGTATAGTCTTGACCTAGGAGGCCCAGAGACCCTTCCACGTTTCCTATGAATTGGAACCTTGTCATGATAACACTAATATACGACTTAGCCTTTTTTTTTTTACCATTCTGAAGTATTTTCTAACAGTGAAAAGCAGATGCCCATGAGAACCTAAATGTCCTATTGAAAGAAATCCATGTCAGTTTCTAATGTACTCATAAATAAAGATGATAGTATATATACTTGTGTGGTTCCTTTTTTTATGTGCAAATGTGACTGCTGAATGAATATTATGTGAATGGAACTGCTTGTTAAAGCAGTTAATGCCTGGTTAGTTCCACAATAAAAGGCCCTGAGCTCTTGTCTGAGATTGACACTTTACCATCACTTGGGAAAATGCTTTTTGGTTAGGGCCCAGATAAAAGCTCCTTGGGTAAGCCCCGTTTTCATTTCTGTTGGATGATAATTCAAAGGTGGATAATGCTTAAGGTACCTGTCTAATGATTTAAGGTGTGGTATTCCAGACTTCATGCAGTAGGCCACTGATAACGGGAAATCTGCTGGTCAGACCTAACCTTGCTGGCAAATTGACGTTGGCAACTACAAGATTTTGTATAAATGTTACCACTTGTTAGGTTAAGCCTCTGCTGCCTGTGTCCAAGGGGTATGGTTGAGTCACAATAGAACTTTTTGTCAAGCCCTTGTACAGGCTGCCAGCCTTGGGGAAATCAAGGCCCTGAAGGATGGGGACTAGCGGGGAACCATCTAGAAGGTAAGAATTTCGATCTCAGATGCGGCTAAATGAATTTCACAATTTAACAAGAATAGTCATTTAGAAGCCATTGGGGTCACCCTTAGGGGAAGATTTGGGGGGTTGGTTTTGGTGGTCACATGGGATGTGTCCAGATGGACTGCAAAGTGCTCAAAGCCAAGAGTTTATGTATGTGGGAAGAGGAGTTAGTACTTGTGTCTGTGATTATTGGACAAAAACCTGGGAGAACTTGTTGGATTGTTTCAAGTACCACTGTGTCTCGAGAGTTCATGTCCCAAAACAAGTAGTGACGTGTGCCAGGTTCTTCTAAACATTTGGCGTATATTACTCAGCTCTGTGAGGTGGGTATTGGTCTGTTTTGATGGGAAAACCCAGAAAGAAAGGCTACATAATTGCCCAGATCTACAACTAGGAAGATGGGCCTCTGCATAAATTAATGGGACACTTCCTTGGGATGGACACATACAAAGCAGGGTCCTGTTTATCTTTGCATCCCCAGGATTATCCCTGTGTCTAGCTCACCTGGTATCATTACCACATAAACACTCTCTGGACAGTAGATGCAAAAAGCCTGAATAGTGTTTTTAGAACAAATCCTCGGTAGGGCTGGGTGGTATGTGAAAAACAGTATCTCCTGACATGGAAGTATACCTGAAGTAAAGCTGTCAGCATGTATTCTAGGTCCCACCCTTTCAGCTAAACTTCAGATTGCACCATATCTACCTGTAGACTTTACAAACCTGCTCTCCTGGCTTTTTTTCTGTATGTATGCCTGTAGTCAAGTCAGTTGTTAACCAAGCGTGACAGTCTGATGCCAACGCTTGCAGTCCCTGTGGTCTTGGGCAAGCTACTTAACCTCTGCCTCAGCTTCCTCATGCATTGAATGGGGATAAAAGTACCTACGTCTTGGAGTTCTAATGAGAATTAGTTAATACTTGTAAAAAGCTGCTTACAGTCTCATAGTACGATGAGCTTGTGAGAAAATTCTCTTAAAAGCAGACAACGAGGAATATAGTATCCAGTAAGTTTATTCAATAAAGTCCACCACCATAGATAAATGACCCACTAAACCAGGCTTATCTCACTCAGGACCCTACCTATCCAGGGGAGTTAAAAAGAGGGTGATTCAGGGAGCTTAGTATCGCCCAAGATCATCTAACTAGTAAGTAGCAGAACTAGAATTAAAACCTAACTCCAAAACCACATACTAGCTTTGAGTAAGGCAGTGTGGTAAGATATGTACATTATCTCATCTAATACTCCTTGCACCTCTGCAAAGTGGGTAGTCTGCCCATTTTTGCAGATGAAACAGATTGAAGGCATTGAACTTGCTTAAGTTACACAGCCAGTAAGTGGCATTCATCTGTGCAATTGACTACAGAACCTATACTCAACGCTACATCATACCATGCCTTGAGATATAGCTATTCCTGGTTTAAAGCACTGAACTCTTGCAATTCAGCTAATTAGCAATACCCACTGTACCATAAAAACTCAGTTTCAGTTGTAATGAATTATATATCTGCTATGTGCCTAGCTTGACTTGACTTGAAAATACTAAAATGGACATAAGTACAGTTTCCTGGGGAGCGACAGCCCTTCCCTGGTTGTTCCTCTGTCTTTCACTGCTTTCTGTCTTTGTGCATGTCCTTCCCTCAGAAGGATGGAACCAACGTCTTTATGATAGTATCTGACACTTGATGAGGATTTGCCATGTGTTAGATATTCTTTCATCCTTACCAACAATCATATGCAGTGCACAGACTTTTATTACAACCATGTTATAGAAAAGACAATCAAGGTTAGATTATTTGCCCAAGGTCACAGAATAGGACTTGAAGGTCTGCATCTTAAGAGCCTGTACTCAACCACCATCCTCCCCTCCCCTCCCCCTAAGCATCCAGAATGGCCTCTCAAAGGCAGGGTGGGTACCCTGAACATTCCATCATGATCATGGTATTAGAATTCTGAAGTGATTATTTTCCAGGTAATGTCCATCTAACCTACTAGTTGGGGGATCCTCAACGAATGGGACCATAGATGTGTGCTCAGTACCTAGTACTGTGCCTGGTACATAGCAAACACTGGTTGATGACTTCATTATTTTTCTGTGTTCTGTTTCATTGATTTCTCTTTAGATCTTTAGTATTTCCTTTCTTCTGTTTACACTGAGTTTAGTTTGCTCTTCTTTTCCTAGTTTACTAAGATAGAACCTGAGGTCATTGATTTGAGACCTTTCTTTTTTTTTCCCCATAGTCTAGGCATTTAGTGCTATGCGTTTCCCCCAAATACTGCTTTAACAATATTCCACAAGTTCTGCTACGTTATTTTTTTTATTTTAATTCAGTTCAAAACACTTTCAAATTCCTAACAACAAGGTTCTAATGCATAGCACAGGGAACTACATTCAATATCTTATAAAAACCTATAATGAAAAAGAACATATATATGCATAACTAAATCACTATGCTATATACCAGAAACTAACACAACATTATAAATCAACTTACTTCAATTAAAAATAAACCAAAAACAAAACCAAAGTACTTTCAAATTCCCTTTTGATTTCTTCTTTGATCTGTGGGCTACTTAAAAGTGTGTTAGTTTTTAAGCATTTGGGAGTTTTCCAAAGATCTTTCTGCTATTGGTTTCTACTTTCATTCCATTGTGGCCTCAGTCCATATGCTTGAATCCTCTTAAGTTTACTGAGACTTGTTCTACCCAGAATCTGGCCTATCTTGGTAAATATTTCATGTGCACGTGAAAGGAATGAGTATGTTACTGATGTTTGAAAATGAAATCAAGTTAGAGGGTGAAGAAATGTGAAGGGTTCTATAAATGTCAATCAGCTCAAATTGATTGAAAGTGTTGTTCAAGTCTACTCTATCCTTGCTGGTTTTCTCCCTACCTGTCCCGTCAGTAATACTGAGAGTGGGATATTGGAATCTCCAGTTGTAGTTGTAGATAGAAGTTCTGTTTCTTCCAGAAGTTCTATCAGTTTTTTTGCTTCATGTATTTTGAAGCGCTGTAATTAGTTGCATATGTTTAGGATTGTGCATTTTAATTAATTGACTCCTTTAGCATGAACTTACCTTCTTTATCTCAACAATATTCTTTGCTCTGAAATCTACCTTGCCATTCATATAGCTGCTCTGGCTTTATTTTGACTAGTGTCATCAGAGTATGTCTTTTTCTATCTTCTTATGTTTAACCTATTTGTGTAAAGTTGATCTTTGTACAACATGGGGGTGCTGTTGAAAATCCATAGATAACTTCACAGTCGGCCCTCTATCTGCAGTTCTGCATCCATGGGTTCAACCAGCCTCAGATCGTGTAGTACTGAAGTACGTACATATCTATTGAAAACAATCTGAGTATAAGTGAACTTGCACAGTTCAAACCTGTGTTGTTCAGGGGGAGGGTACAGCTCAAGTGGTAGAGCACATGCTTAGCATACACAAGGTCCTGGGATCAATCCCCAGTACCTCCTCCGCAATTAAACCTAATTACCTCCCCCCACCAAAAAATAAAGTAAAATAAAATAATTTTTTCAAAAAATCTGTGTTGTTCAAGTGTCAACTGTACTTACATTTTAACATGTATTTCTTGTAAGCAGTGTGTACTTGGGTCTTGCTTTTTCTGTATATTATGACAATCTCTGCCTTTTAATTGAAGTGTTTAAAACACATTTATTTTTATATGATTGAGTCTTATCTTGGTATTTGTTTTCTATTTTTGTTTCAACTGCTCTTTGTTCCTTTTGTACTCTTTTTCTGCCCTTTTTTTTTAATTCAGTATCTTTTCCTGATTCCATCTTATCTTTGTTGGCTTTTAGCCATAACTATTTTGTTATTTTTGGTTTGGTGGTCATTTTGGGGATTCACATATACATCTTTTTTTTTTTTTTATTTAAAAAAATTTTTTAATTGACGTATAGTTGATTTACAATGTTAGTTTCAGGTGTACAGCAAAGTGATTCAGTTATTTTTTAATATATTTTTATTGGAGTATAGTCGGTTTACAATGTTATGTCAATTTCTGGTGTACAGAGCAGTACTTCAGTCATATAGGAACATACATATATTCATTTTCATATTCTTTTTAACCATAAGTTACTATAAGATATTGAATATAGTTCCCTATGCCATACAGTATAAACTTGTTTATCTCATCGTATACACCTTTAACTATCAGAGTCTAAGTTCAATTGATGATATACTACTTCACTTAATATAATGATCTTATATTTCTCACCCCATAGTCTTTGTTATTGTTGTCATGTATTTTACTTTTTATATATGTTATAAAATCCACAATACCTTAGTATTTTTGTTTAAACAGGCAATTATCTTTTTTAAAGTTTTGTAAAAAGAAAAAATCTTACCTAATTACCTCCGCCCCCAAAAAAGAAAAAATCTTATATATTTACCCACGTGGCTACATTTCCAATGCCCTTCACTCCTTCGTATAGATCCAGATTCTCACCTGCTATCACTTTGCTATCACTTTCCTTCCACACAAAAGTATTCCTTTAACATTTCTTTTATGATGGGTCTGCTGGTGATGAATTCTTTCAGCTTTTGCATGTCTGAAAATGCCTTAATTTCCCCTTCATTTGTGAACACTGTTTTTCCTTGATATACTTTTCTAGATACAATTTTACTGGAGCACATTAGAGATGTTGCTCTGTTCTTGTTGGCATTGTATCCTTGTCTTTGTTCTTCTGTACATAAGATGTTGCATTGTATCCTTTTCTTGTTCCTCTGTACATAATGTCTTTCTTCTGATTGCTTTTTAAGATTTTCTATTGTTGGTTTTGAGCAATTTGATTTTGATGTACCTTGTTTCCTATGCTCGGAGTTCCTTGAGCTTAGATTTTGTATGGGTCAGGGTTCTCTAGAGAAACAGAACTAGTAGGATGTATGTGTGTAGATAGAGATTTAATTTAAGGAATTGGCTCATGTGGTGGTGGGGACCAGAAAGCCTAAAATCTGTAGGGCCAGACAGCAGACTGGAAATTCCAGTAAGAGCTGATGTTGCAGTCTTGAATCCAGAGGCAGTCTTGGCAGAATTCCTTCTCTTAAAGCCTTCAACTGATTGGATGAGGCCTGCTCATATTATAAAGGGTCATATGCTTTCCTCAAAGTCTACTGATTTAAAAGTTAGTATTATCTAAAAAATGACTCACAGCAACATCTAGACTGGTGATTGACCAAACAACAGGGCAGTATAGTCTAGCCAAATTGACGCATAAAATTAATCACAGATCCGTAGGTTTATAGTCTGAATATTTTGACCATTATTTCTTTTTTTTTTTTTTGACCATTATTTCTTTAAATATTTTCTATCTCCAGTTCCTCCTTGTTTTGGGATCTCCAATTACTGTAGAGTAGGCTACTTATTAAAGTTATTTCATAGCTCACTAATGCTATTTTCACGTAAAATTTTTTTCTCTGTGTGTTCCATTTTGTTTTTTGCTATGCCGTCAAATTCACTAACCATTGCATTTGCAATATCTAATCTATTATTAATCCCATCCAGTTTATTTGTCATCTTAGATATTGTCAAGATGTTCACTTTGGATCTTTTTATGTCTTCCATGTCTCTGCTTAACTTTTGGACATACAGAATACTCTTATAATAACTTTTAATGCCATTCACTTCTGAGTCTATCATCTATGTCATTTCTGAGTCAAGGCCAATTGATTATTCTCCTTACTATGGTTTGTGTTCAATGAATAAAATACAACAATTAAAGGTTGTGAAAAAATTAAAATTAATATTTGGGTTCAGAGAGGAAAAGATAAGTGCAGCCAAGGAAGGCTTCATGGAGATGGTGACTGAAGTGAGCCTTAAAATATATCAAGAATTCAGCTAGGCAGGAAGGAAGGCCCCTGTTAGGAAAGGTGAGAAAGTAGGAATGAGCATGGGCACGTCCAGAGTGCAGTGTAAAGGCCAAGGGGAAAATGGGAATCAACGCCTTGGGGCATTTGCCACCTGGTGCTCCAAGCATAGCACTAAAGCAATATCTGAGTCTTTAAAGATTTCTCAGCAGGGCAAGGTCTCTTGATTTAGGGAGACTAACCTGGGGATCTAGGTGAAATGAAATGGAGGGGAAAGGATGAGAGGCAGGAACACAAGAGGTTGGTGCTTAGACTAGAGGGGCAGAAACAGAACATGGAGCAGAGAAGGATGAGTCAGAAAAGAAATTAAGGTTTGAACCTGTACTTGTCAAAGAACCTTAACCTTGGCTTGAAGGATGAAGGGGGAATGTGTCTAGATCCATGGGAAATGAGTTTTATTTTGGGTGTTGAGTCTTCTGCATAGACTGTAGGACTGAAACTTAGGGTGGAGGTCAGAACCAGACCAGATGGATTGCCCTCTCAGTTAAAAGGTGATGGCTAAAAAGTTTTAAAAAAGCCCTGAACAAGAGTTCTACTCTCCTACCACTTGTATGATGACCCCAGAGAACTTGCTTAACCTCTTTGTACCTCATTTTTCTCATTTTCCAACTGTTGAAGTTTTTATGAGGAACAAATGAACTAATGGACATGAATGAACATGTTTCTGTAGTTAAAATAAAAGGTTTTACAAAAATAGGTGATAATAATTATTTTTATAATTATATTAAGCCATGTGACTGAGTAAGATCTTGGAGGAAGACAGCAGAGAGAGATCAGAGGTCCCAGGGTTAAAACTTGGAGACATTTCACAGTATATCATTCAAAAGAAGAGTCTGTGATGGAGGCAGAAGTAAACTTGAAGAGGTAAGAGACTCTGAAGATGGGGACTACCTTTTTTGAGGGGAGGGGCTCTGCAGAGAAGAAATTCAGTTGGTAAACACTCATAAAAAGTGTCCATCTAGAGTTCAGGTATGATAGTATGACTTTCAGAGTCAGAATCAACATGAAATGAAGAAAATGTCCTTCTGCAGCGCTCACTCCCCTGACCTAGGAAGTCCCCAGACACAATCAAATGGCCTGAAAGTTCACCGCAGGAAACCCTTGAAATCCTAAAGAAATGTTTGTATTCATCCTGAAGAAGGAGTGTGTTAACAAGACAGCGTAGTCGGCTTGGTGCCTGTTCTCCATCTCTAGCTCCCAACCTCAATTTACACCCTCATCTTCTTTCTTATCTGGTCTCCCTCCCCGACTCTTGGTTTCCCCTTCCCTCAAGTCCATTCTCCATTTTGTTCTAAAGCAAACATCTGCTCATGTCACTCACGTACTCAAATCCCTTTCATAGTTCCCCACTGCCTCAGGGTAGAGGCTGTGTCCTTAGAGACCCTGAACCCATGGCCTGTCTCTCCCTCTCCAGTTCTCCCCCACGTTACTCCTGTGGCACTCTCTGCCCCAGTCAGACCCTGCGAGTTTCTCATAACCACCATAGGCTCTCATCGCTCGCTGTCATTGCAAGTGATGCTTCTTCTAGGAGGCCCTGCCCTCTTAGCCTTAACCTGGAAAGTCCTTTTTAAGCCCTGGCTGAGCCAGATAACCCTGTGTGTACCCTTGTCACAGCCCTGGTAGTTGTTGATAGTCTGATTTCTCACCTTTCTCTGACGGAGAACCTCATGAGAGCAGGGAAGATCAGGATCTCATTTGCCCGTACAGTCCCTTCCACACCAGATTTTCCCAAACAAACCGTGATTCCTAGTAGTCTTTCTGGTTGTCATTTCATTTGCACCGATTTGGGGTCTCCAAAATGCACACCTACTGAACCCGGGCCAGGGTGGAGAGAGCCTGGTCAAGAGCGTCCTAGCAGAGCGCGCCATTTGCACTTCCCGGGGTGCCCGCCAGGGGTCGCCGGGCTCTTTGTTTTCTTTTCTGGCCCGGGGTCGGGGCCGGAGGCCTGCAGAGCGCATGCTCTGGGGCAGTTCGCGGCCGGGCTGGCGAGCGGAGGAGTTC